AATTCCCCATCAGAGTTCAGTTGTTTCATTATCATGAAGAAGATAAAAGTCTTTTATGGTATCAGAGCTCCAGGTTAGCCTGGAGTCTCTTTGATCTTTTTTTTTTTCTCTTTATTCATCTACTCTTCATCATGTCTACTACTTCGAACCCTTCTCCCTTCTCCTCAGATCCTTCCCAACTCATCTTCCCTCAAAGTCAGCTCATCACCATCAAACTCAATGAAAACAATTACCTGATTTGGCAGCAGCAAGTTCTAGCAGCCATAAGAGGCTATGGACTGCAGCCTTACATCTCCAAAACTCAGAGAATCCCAGAGGAGTTCCTTCAGTCATCCTCACAAGACCAAACCACCATGAATCCAGAATTTCTGCTCTGGATGAGGCAGGACCAGATCCTTGCTTCTTGGTTGCTCTCATCTCTTTCTGAGCCATTGCTTGTCACCACGGTTGGTTTGACCACCTCAAGAGAAATCTGGGAGAGCCTCGAGATAGGATTCTCAAGCCAATCTAAGGCAAGGATCTTGCAGCACAAGTTAAAGCTGCAGACACTAAAAAAAGGCAATCTCAACATGAGGGACTATCTGAATCAAATCAAGACTTGTTGTGACACACTAGCAGCTGCTGGCCAAAGTGTGAGTGATGAAGAGCAAGTGATGCACATCCTGGCCGGGTTAGGACAAGAATACAACCCGGTTATGGTCTCAATCATGTCCAAACTTGAGACACCAGTTCTGAGAGATGTCCACTCACTATTGTTGAGTTTTGAAACCAGACTTGAGGCAACCAATCTAGAGGGAAACCAGTTTAGCCTAGATGGCTCATCTCCAAGTGTTAACTTTGTTGGCCAGACATCCTACAGAGGAAGAGGAAATCGAGGGAGAGGAGGCAGGAACTCCAACACCTCAAGAGGTAGAGGAAGAAGAGGTGGTGCTAAACCAAGGTGCCAAGTTTGCTTCTACACAGGCCACACTGCAGACAAGTGTTGGCACAGGTTTGATCAAAGTTTTGTGCCAAACACAGGACACAACAACAACAACCATGGAGGGCAGCCACAGAGAGCACAAGCTTTTACACCTACTGTGCACTCTACCAACCTCATGATGAACAATGCACCTTCAGTGAACCTTGGAGATGAGAAAAGTCAGATGGATCTCTGGTATCCAGACTCAGGTGCTAGCAATCATGTCACCTATGATCTTCAAAACCTTAGCCTGGCTTCAGAATACCAAGGACCAGAGAAAGTTCAGGTTGGAAATGGTAAGAAATTGCCTATTTTTCACATTGGTAATTCTATATTAAGCTCAAACTCTCATGATAATTCTACCTTTATCCTTAAGAATCTGCTTCATGTCCCAAACATCACAAAAAACCTGATTAGTGTCTCTCAATTTGCCCTTGATAATAATGTTTTTTTTGAGTTTCATCCTACTTATTGCATTGTGAAGGATCAAACCACAGGCCAGACTTTACTAGAAGGGAAAGTTAGGGAAGGTCTCTATAGCTTCAGTCTTTCAAATGTCAATGATGAAATCAGCACAACCATTACAGCCTCTCCTTACAACCACATCTCCATCAACTCTATTCAAAGTCCCAAAGAAGACATCACCACTTGGCACTCCAGACTTGGTCATCCATCTTTTGATATTGTCAAGAAAGCTTTAAGTAGTTGTAATACCCCCTTTTCTGTTAATGAGAATAAAGTGTTATGTCAATCTTGTGCTCAAGGGAAATCTCACAAACTACCCTTTTATGATTCAATATCTGATGGTTATGATTTACTTGAATTGATCCACACAGACCTCTGGGGTCCAGCACCCATCAAGTCATCCAATGGTTTTCTATATTATGTCAACTTTATTGATCACAAATCCAGATTCTCTTGGCTTTACTTGCTCAAATCTAAATCAGATACTCAAGCAGCCTTCACACACTTCAAAAACCTTGTTGAAAACCAATTTGAAAAGAAAATTAAAACAGTCCAGAGTGATGGAGGGACTGAATTCAAAACCTTAATTCCTCTTTTTTCTGAAAGTGGCATTCATCATAGACTATCTTGTCCATATACTCCTGAGCAAAATGGTCTAGCTGAAAGAAAGCATAGACACATTGTTGAAACCGGTTTAACCCTTCTTTCTCAAAGTGGTTTACCTCCTAGATATTGGGATCATGCTTTTACCACAGCTTCCTATCTCATCAATAGAATGCCCTCCAAACTCCTCAGCTACAAGTCACCTTTAGAATACTTAACTGGAAATGCTCCCAACTATTCTGAGTTAAAGGTCTTTGGATGTTTGTGTTTTCCATATCTTAAACCTTATAACAAACACAAGTTACAGTTTAAAAGTGAACCATCTACTTTCATTGGTTACAGTAGCCAACACAAAGGTTATAAGGTTCTCTTGCCTAATAACAAAATCATAATTACCAGGCATGTTCAGTTCAATGAGCAAAAATTCCCATTTCTTGAAAAACAGCATAATGAAAAATCTCCTAATGCTGTAAACCAAACTCCTGCAGTCATCCCAACCTTCTTATCAAGACAATCTCCCATTATACCTTCACCTCCCACTGCCAACTCACCAGAGAAAACTACCACTCCTCAACATCAGAACACACCTCAAAGCACTCAATCCTCTTCCAATCAAACTTCTCATACTTCTATTCCAATAGGAGAGCTTTTTATAGATTTACCAATTGATAATAGTGCTGAAGTTCCTACTGTCTCTAACCTAAATAACAATGAGAATGACAGGGAAGTTGACAGGACCAGCAAGCATCATATGATTACAAGATCCAAGCATGGGATTTTTAAGCCAAAGGTGTTCTCTCAGCAGATGAATCAAGAGATTGAAGAACCAAAAAACTTTGAAGAAGCAGTTCAATGCAAAGAGTGGAATGAGGCAATGAACAAAGAGTATCAAGCCCTCTTAGACCTAAACACATGGAGCTTATGTGTTGCACCTCAGCATGAAAACATTATAGGATGCAAATGGGTCTATAAATTGAAGAAAGATGCTGAGGGAAATAGCTAGATACAAAGCACGGTTAGTAGCTAAGGGCTACACTCAGCAAGCTGGTTTTGACTACAATGACACATATAGTCCAGTGGTTAAGCCAGTTACCATTAGAACCGTCATATCTGTGGCCCTTTCAAGATCATGGAAACTCAGGCAGCTTGACTTTGACAATGCCTTTCTAAATGGGGATCTTGATACTGCTCTCTACATGGAACAGCCTACAGGTTTTGAAAAAAGAAGCAAGGATGGGAAACCACTAGTCTGCAAGCTCAATAAGTCCATTTATGGACTTAAACAGTCATCAAGAGCCTGGTCCTCCAAGTTAGGCAGCATTCTAAAGTCTTTTGGTTTTAGTGTGTCCAAAGTTGATCCTTCTTTATATCACAGACACACTAATAATGACACCACCTTGATCCTTACATATGTCGATGACATGATAATCACAGGGAGCAACAACAGCTATATAGATCAACTTATCACAAACCTCTCAAAGGTCTTTTCATTGAAGGACTTGGGAGATTTAAAGTTCTTCCTTGGTATTGAATTCAACAGTCATGAAGACTCTTGTTTCCTATCTCAAAGGAGATATATCCTTGACATTCTCAAGAAAGCAGGAATGGAAAACTGCAAACCTTTGAGCACTCCCATGATTACTTCACCCATTTCAAAGTTTGAAGGACATCCTCTTGACAATGGTTATGTTTTCAGAAGCCTCATTGGAGCATTGCAATATGCAAGCATCACAAGACCAGACATTACATTTAGCATCAACAAGTTGAGCCAATTCATGCAAAATCCTATGAACAGTCACATGAAGGCCCTTAAGAGAATTCTCAGATATTTGGCTGGCACCTTGGATCATGGACTGAGATTTTACAAGGATTCTTCTTTTAAAATTTCAGCCTTTGCAGATGCAGATTGGGCCTCAGACATTGATGATAGGAAATCTACCTCTGGGATTTGCACTTTCCTTGGAAAAAATTTGGTCTCATTAAGTTCTAAGAAGCAACATCTAGTCTCTAGATCCAGCACTGAGTCAGAGTTAAGAAGCTTAGCCTCGGCTACTTGTGAGGTCATTTGGCTCCAATCTTTATTGAGAGAATTGCATATTCCCTCACACATTCCTTCAGTTATCTGGGTTGATAATCTTGGAGCCATCTCCTTAGCTTCAAATCCCGTTCATCATTCCAGGACTAAGCATGTTGAGATAGACATGCACTTTATCAGAGAGAAAGTTGATCACAAAATCATCTCTGTCCAACATGTCCCTTCTTTGTTTCAAACAGCCGACATTCTTACAAAACCGTTGAGTGGTCAATTCTTCAATCGATTGCGTCATTCCCTCAATGTTCATTCCCAACCGAGCCTCGAATTGAGGGGGCATAAAGGAAGAGTCATCAGCAAGCAAGTGCTGCCATGTCACCCTCCACCTCAGTTATCCACATCATCACGTGATTCCATCCTTACCCGACGTGACGTCAGCATGCATGAGCACATGCATGATACATGCAGCCAAAACGGAGGTAACAACCTCTGAGAAAGAAGACAAATATGGCAGCTGGGATTAATGTCCTTTTACCCCTATCATTTTTGAATTTTGAAATCTTTTTACCCTAAGAGGAATATGTGGTGTCCACATTCTAGATAGATCTCTGGAGTTATATATAAGGTTGTAATCCCTTTCAGAATCAATTAATGAAAGCTGATTTTATGAGCCATATTCTCAAAATTCCCCATCAGAGTTCAGTTGTTTCATTATCATGAAGAAGATAAAAGTCTTTT